ACAGATTATCCAAAGTAACTTCATTAATATTTGAACCGCTTTTAAATAATTCTCCTTTTTTAGCCGCAATTGCGATTRCGACCAATAATCAACAATGTGTTATGAGGTCACTGCACTTTGGGCACGCAGTTTTTGTATAAAGATATTTCCATAGACGCAGATCATTACAAACAGGAACCTTGATACAGCTTTCTCATTGTTTAAAGGTTGGTGAAGACTCGTTATAAAATAGCTATTGTGGTAATACTAGCTGGTAGCTTTATMCTCATCAAGTTATCTTCTTATTTACTTTTTATATTATAAGATTTCTGATACTATCAGCTCTTAGTTTCACAACATAAACTTCTTTTAAATGGAGAATTTCCTTTACAAAATCTACATGGTTTTCCTATTTGAAGGTGTCCTCAATCAAGTKATGTTATTTCTAGGATTTTAGCTATTTTTCTCGAATACCGCAGAATAAAGGTYTGATTTGCGATGAGGGCACCCCTTTTATGTTTGGTMWTCTTATTGTGCTATTAACCCCAGGAGGTCAAACGAACAAAAGAGCTCTCTAAATAGAGACAATCGCCCTCTTCTTTCAAAAATAAACCGTGTTTTTAACTCATATCATGTTAGCATTGAAAAAAACCCGGATATTACATGTTTTTGCTAAACACTCAATCTGCTTTTGAAATTGAATGTTGAGAATTAAAGTAAAYTGGAAAGTACTTCGTGAAATTTAGGATCATTAATGTTTCTTAGCCCAAAATTATACTAAACACCTGGTTAYGTTTTTTYTAATTAATTCTCTTCCTAGTAAGTTCTATAGAAAGTCTTTGCGTACATTTGTTAACTTCACTAAATGACAGACGTTTAATTTATTTTGTTATATAGCAACATTAAAAGCATAATCAAGACAGAAAAGYGTACAGAATTTATTCACTGAAATCACGATTTTTTTCTAAATAAGGAATCTTAAATGGACTTAAACATGTYTTACTTGACTTTGTGGCTTTAGATAGATCTAGAATAAGCTTTTACTAGATTCACTGCAGATCGAATATATCGGAGATATTAACACTATTTTAAAAAGGTTGGTGGGACGAAAAGCCCAAAAGGCACTTTGGGTCATGTTTATTAATTAGAAACATTCACGATTTAAGAAAGGCATATTTGTTTCCATTGAGTGAGGATTTTCGACGATGGCTTAGTTTGTTAGCTATTTTTTACAAGATAAACACATAATACAGATCAAAGATATAATATCCATAGTTTCTTTGCGCTCCAACAGCCTATTTCAAAAAAACGTTGTCGGGGAGAACAGCGAACACGATTGTCGAAGGGATATTGCACGACCAAAAGGGACTATGGTTACACAAGTTTTGATAAATAAAATTTCACTTGTTGGATTCGACTTGCATAGAAATCATTTCCGTGAGCGAATGTTCACCGCAGACTATCTTAGAGTACAAATCAGTTGTTATTTCCAGTTTCAATTAGCAGAACCCATGGCTTCTTTCGGTCGTGCAAKCGCTATTTTTATCCGACAACCTTTTTTGAAATAGGTATACATCTATTTCAATAAACGTTGTCAGGAGAACGGGATCGGTGATTGTCGAAGGGAGAATGCACGACCGAAAGGGACGATGGTTACACTGTTTTGATTTTACTGACTTATTGAATTCACCTTGCATTAAAATCGAGACTAAAATAAAACCAATTCTCACCACAGACTATCTTACAGTATAAATCAGTTGTTATTTTTCATCAGTTCATGGCTACTTTCGGTCGGGCAATCGCCGTTCGACAATTGACATTCGCTATTTTATCCGACAACTTTTTTGAAATATAGCTATATACAATTGTATAGTTAKGATATGAGGTGTACAATGATTTCAGATAAGACTAAAACACAACATGACTTCATGACTGCCAATAATACGGTAAAAAACCTGATCCTGAATTACTTTCTTCTCACAGTCTAATTTCTAATTTSACGTTTTAACGACCCCACACGTCGTCAATTGCTTCTAAAGCCGAATATCATTGCCTTCCGTTTAAAAAATGACATCCTAGAAGAAAATRGTTAATTTCCAAACTCTTGACAGTCAATTGATAAAGTTAAAGCATTGGCCTCGTTTAGTTTTAGACTTCCTGGACTGTTTTCAATTATTTCAGATCAACATGATGAAGTACTACATGCTAATGATTACCTGTCTTATTCTGATTGGTCACTGCATGGCCGCCCCCCAGAAAAGATCAATGAAGTTAGCAGATTACATGAAAAGTCTTCAAGATGTTGCTSAGAAGAAGAATAGTAAGAAATAAAAACATGGGAAAAAAGATGGGAAATTATGACAGTATAATTATGTCATATAAAAGTGTGTGAAATCCATTCACAAAAATCTGTTAAAAACAAGTTTATCCTGATGATTTTCCTGTTACTAAGTACTGTAGAGCTGAAAAATTCATTAGGCAGTGTTGTCCTACAATACTGATTACATATTTAGTTTATGGCTTTGAAATAATAAAATATTGACCTTACTACTGAATGCAAGGGATCATTTGTGGTTCATGTTAACCTGAGGCGGAATGTTTTAACACAACACCTGTCCATTGTATTAAGGAATTGCTTAAATTAATATTGACATTGTCTACTTAAACAAGTATCTTAAATTGGAATTACTATAGTACAAATCAGTTTGATTTCCATAAGACCTCACTTTTTGCAATTAGACATACACTTCTTATAATTATTTAGTCCATGAATGATTTTATCCATTTAAAAACATACAAGCAAGTAAACACTTGTGATTTCTTTTTTCAAAGTTCACAAAAAGGCAGATTTTGAATGCAAGGATGTGGAGCCATACACTTGCGCTTACAGGCTATTCCATGGTGATGACTGTGATCTGGAGAAATGTCCAGAAACGTGTGGTGTTTGTAAGTTTGTAGCATTAGGTCTGAGTAATCTATACAGATTCAAGATGCTGACATTATTTTATATTATAATATGGGGTAAAACCCTGATAAAACCATCTAGAACAMTATGTACATTGCTCCAGCTGATGTAGTGGAAAATATGGATAACATATGATTTCTTGTGAGCAAGATTTTTTTTTTCTTTGTTGCTTTTGGGTAGGATATATATTGTTTCTCTTGGTGGAGTGTAGGAATTTTTTTTCTTTTATGTAACATTTTTTGGGGGATAAGGGTGGTACAAGATTTTTTTAGGTCCATATGTTGTGCACGATTTTTATTTTTGGTGAAGATGGCTTGCAGGATTTTTTTTTCAAAATTATCCATGCCTGCCCCCCACCCCTCAAAAGTTAAATRGACTGCCCCTTATCCCTTGTTGTCCCTAATGTTGCTCAAATTCATTTATAGTTTAATATCAGTGGAAAGCAGGCAGGCAATGTCTTTCTAAGCACATTCATTTGTGCATCTGTTATATCCCAATGTTTCACAACAACTTGATATTAAATCTATCATTAAACTTGCTTCTCCTTTTATCTTAACAGGCTGAGGACCAAGCAGTCACAATATATAATATTCTGCATTAATTAAGTTAATAAGTTAATTGCTTTTTTTCATGAATTTTTATTTACTTTTTGTCAAAATTTTGAAAAAGCTAATAAAAGCGTTAAAAACCCAAAATCATGATAAATTTAAGCTTATAAACATCATAAGAAGTCTCGTAGACTGAGACAACACAACGCCTAAAGCACGAAGAGTCGACGGTTTCCTGGGAGAAATATATCTGTTCATGTCCCAGTAGCCAATTGTAAGTCACAACTGGTTRCCAGCGAGAAATTCAGGGAAAAAGATCTCTCCAGAACTCTCCAGGCAAGGAATACTTTCTAAGAATTTTTGCCAGGAAAATAAAAATTTCCTAACTGCTAACTAAAATAAGCCAGTTTTGATTATAAAAACGCTTGCCAGGAGCAAAATTTTTGTAAAGAMGGAAAGGCGCCACATTTGCTTGTGAGATTGTCAAAAGTGTAGCTCAAAATCCCTTTCCCATGAAAACATTCGTACAAGAACAGTTATTTAGAAGAACAGATCCCGTCAGCTCCTAAATCAGCCTCTCTATGCTCATCTATTTTATTGTGGYTTCCTATCTACATTAACGAGTCTTACCTTCCTTTTCAACGTTACTTTAGAACTCTTTTTGTAGTCTTGATGCTATTTTGAATACGAACTTCCCCAAAAACTAAGAAAACTTCCAGATATTGCACAAACGGCCCACCGTCCGCCATCTTGGATTATCGCGACACAGGAAGCCCAAGTCAACACAGGGAATCCAAAAATCTAATATTTATTTACAGTTATGGTGTTGGCAACGATATACCTACTATATCATCTATAATCCTATTCAATTTCTTTTTARATTATTAATTTTCAGGGGAATCTACAAGCAGCAGTTTTTAGATGGATATTGAATCCAAAATCCTGTATAAATATTTAATTGTTACCCATTATTATTGCAAGCAATCCTGGGTCCATACATCTGATATGGTGATTAAATAAATTCTTTAGATACCATGTCTAAATATTGACTGTTACAAAATGGCTACTTTTAAAGAAACTGCTCCCCCCTTGAATCGTAGTTAATCCCCCTCGATAAGCGYCATTGAGCAAATATGTTGATGAAATTATATACAAATGTCACCAAATAAATTGACAATGAACCAACTGAAGGAAATGAGCCAACATTATACTGCTTTAAGTGGTTATAGATCAGACACAGTTTGTATCCAGTCATGTCCAGTTAATGGTCAAGTTCAACTCTGCAGATTCTGCCTGGACAAATATATTGTTTGTATTTAATAAAAGTGAGTTGGTGTATTTTTAACAAGTCTGTCAAAWTGTTTTGGTAAAAGTGGCAATATGGTTCAATAAGAATATGAGAAATCACCTTCGTGTTTGATTGAATTTCTYAATCTTATTCAATGCTACAAGATGCAGTATTAAGCTGTGTCAATTGACGAGCATATAAAATCCAGYCAGCCATGAGTTGTGCCACCAGTGGACAAGAAACCTCTACCATGATCTTCTGTCTTTTGTTGGCTGTTGCCCTTTGTGGGTCATCACTTATTGAAGGTAATATCGCTCTTTATAATGCATAGTGCATAACTTTCCCTCCTGAGGAAGAAGCCATTTAATAAGGAGATCTATAAGTTAAAATAATATAACATAAAAATAATAATAAATAGTAATAGCGCAAAATATCCATGAAGTTCTATTGCGCTTTACAATATAGAAAGAAAAACATTTATAAAAAATTATGAAATATTTATAATATTATAACTACTCGATCGCGCCTTCCTTTCAACTTAAAACCGCAAATTGGTTTTATTATTGTAATTTCTTGTTCCGTTCTTTTTTATGATACGCCAATTCTTATATTAACGCAATGATGATACTACGCGGTCTTTCTTGCAGCTTGCGGTGTTAAGCCGTTCAGTTCCCGAGTTGTTAATGGTGTTAACGCCGCCCCTCACGCCTGGCCCTGGCAGATCTCTCTTCGAGTCAATGGCCGTCATATCTGCGGTGGATCGTTGATCGCAAAAGACTGGGTTGTTACAGCAGCTCATTGTGTAGACAGGAACCCCAGACCGAGCGGATATACTGTAGTAGTCGGTGAGTTTACGTTGTATTCTTGAGGGAATTCGTGCATGCGCATCGATGGGTTTTCCTATCCGTGTTAATCATCCTGTATCGTCGTGTCGGTAACTCAAGTCGTGTGTCCGTCGATAGTCTTYGTATCAGTGTCGGTGGTTCTCTTTTAACATAGTTAATGGTCGCGATTTTTGCGCCTGCAAAGGCGTGGGCTGCGTCGGTTAGTGTTCATTAGTGTTCGGTATTGTTTCGGTTAGAGTTCGTGTTTGTTTCGGTAAGTGTTTGAGTAGCGAGGTCATTGAATGACTATTCATACCAATTGCCTCATTAAGGTGCCCACAGTAGAACTGGATCAACCACTGTCCAACGAACCTTTAGGCTGAGACAACTCTTCAAGCATGAGCAATTCAGCATGAGRMASCTGAAAAATGACATCGCACTGCTTCAACTCTCTGGATCCATCTCAGCGAGTTCCAAAGTGAATACAGTCTGCCTGCCTCCAAGTGGAAGCCGAGCACCTGCAGGTTCACAATGTTACATCACTGGTGAGTATCCATTCACTATCAAGTGTTYACTTTAGAGYTTCTCAGAACAATAGTGGCAGTAACAATATCAACTGATTAAATATTCAATAATRCTTTTAATTTACAGGCTGGGGACGAACCGTTGGTGGTGGAAGTGCAGCTAATATTCTCCAACAAGCCATGCTCCCAGTGGCTTCTCACAGCGCTTGTAGCCGAGTTAATGGCCGACTCGTCCCAGTCGATGAGCGCTCGATGATCTGYGCTGGAGGACRAGGCAAGGGTGGTTGTCAAGGMGACAGTGGTGGACCGTTCGTGTGTAACGAGGGAGGAAAATGGGTCCTGCGTGGTGCTGTCAGCTGGGGACACAGMMWGTGCCGTACCGACCACTACACAGTCTTCGCTCGTGTGAGCAGCTTCATTGGTTGGATCAATGGCAAGATGGGCGGCGGAGGAGGTGGWGGCGGAGGAGGATCTTGTATGTAAATATTAACTGTCCAGTGAAGAAGCCTAATCACGTAGATTCCGCGCGCGATCTTGTTTTTTTATATTGATTTCCAATCGGAACCATTGGGCACCACGTGGAAGTGTTCAGTCTGAGTAGYAGACAATTTTCCTTGTTTTAAGGGTTAAAACAGTTTTGATAAGCCACGACCGGGTTGTTCAAAGCCCGATTAGCGCTAATCCTGGGTTAATTTTTAGAAAACCTTTGGAGTAAACCCAGGATTAACGCTAATCGGGCTTTGAACAACCCGTCCCAAGACTTCGACTTAATGTTGTTTTATATTTACTAGGTCAGGATCTTGATCGCCGATGCCCCTACTGGACAAGGTATTGTCAAACCAACAACTATGTCAAGAGCAAGTGTAGAAAGACCTGCAAACTATGTTGAATGTACGTATAATTGATAAGAATAACTTCAAAAATGTTGCCGAGTAGAATTGAAAGAGAAAATTRCACGYMCACAAAAAAATGTGCAGTCTTTATTACTGTTATAAGTTTCGGTCCCAGCCGTCTCACGAAGAAAACTAAGAACTATRGGTAGCGATGCATTATTAACTTTAGTGAATTCTCGATTTTTACATGACGTCACAACAGCTATATTTACACGATTTCTGATTGGCTGTTATTTTTATGCTCATCAACTTTTCTGGCATATCTTATGTTCTTTATATCTCAAGGGATTCTGGGACACGTCACTGCGAAAGAAGATTATATGCTAGAAGCATTAAGTGCACCATTCGGCAATTTCTTATCACACTATCTGTTGATAATCTTCAGTGACGATCAGATATTCCTCAGTTCTTTTGAACTGTTTGAACTGTTTTAGCAGTTTATAGTTTTAGTATTGAACCTCCGTCGACAATGAAGAGAAAAAGACTAGCCTTGTTTTGTACTTGATGAWAAAGAGCAAAAGAAAATAGCATGYACAAAATCTCTTTTTGCGGCTTAATTTAGTAAATGGTGTTGATAACGAACACAATTTCAAGGTGATACWAATGATGTTAAACTAATTAATTAATATATTATCATTTGTCTTTTCAGGGAGGAAATACACTGAAATACAGCGTTACTTTAAATTCATTGTAACAATGTAACCTGAGAGTATAATAAAACTATTGAAATATGACAAGTGTTATGATATGATTTATAAACACTCACGCACTACCTCTRAAGCAGGATTTTATTGAATAAACCTATTAACTAAAGGTGGTGAAATCGGGAAATCGATCGCAATGATAACTACTCCCTCGATGCAAGAAAAATAACTAGGGAAACCAAACCCAAGCTTATAATCTAGTTGATACTACCACGCCCGAGAATCGAACCGCTAGACCACAGCGAGATAAGTTTCGTGGAAAATAGGCGTTTTTGTCATTATATAGATGTATAGTTTTTGGGTGCTAAAAATTAATTCTTGATACTGAAAATGCTGTAGAAATGTAGTAAGTAAATAAAATCATGCGYAGAATCAATCTCACCGCAAGCACCTGGTAAGGTGATACAACACCAAYAGATCTCCTTTTGAATGCCTTGTTTATATATTGACTTTTGTGTTTTCGAGAAAAAATTACGGTACCTAACAACTTGCGTAACGAAAGATTAAGACCTTCACAACAAYAACAAACATACAATCTATAAAACCTCGCTTGAAAAACTTGGCCCAAGTTTTTCAAGCGAGGTTTTATAGATTGTATGTTTGTTATGGATGAAATGATGGAATGATGTGAAAATAATGGAATAAACTTTGAAGATTCAAGTTGAGATGGCTTTAAATAGTTATTATTGGATATATCCAATGATCCATTCAATCTTTCGTGTGTTTATTAGCTAACCCTGAACAAATACTATATTAAGTTAAGAAAATAAAGTTAGAATTTTTAATATATCTGTCAGTATTTTTGTCAGAATGGTAAAATAGTTCGATGAGGAATAAAAGATTTTAACCTTATGTTTGGTTACGTTTCTCAATGCTTTTCCGTATCAAAAGATGCAGTTTTAAGCTGAGTMAATTGACCAGTACATAAAACCAAGGCAGACATGAGTTGTGCCATCAGTAGACGATAAAAGTCAGCCATGATCTTCTGTCTTTCGTTGGTTGTTGCCCTTTTAGCGGGGCCATCACTTATTGAAGGTACGTCTCTCTATGTTACTTTTGTACTCCATCCTCAAGGAGAAMCACTTCTTGCTCATGCGTTTTCCCTTATTCATCGGAATTCTTATAAAATCAGTGAATGAAAATTCTGTGTCCGCTAGTGTTTTTGAACCTTTTAGAGCTGGGAAAATTGGATTTTATATCCGAACCTTGCACATGGATTCGTCCGAAMTAGCACCATAATTTTGTATTTCTGATTCATTTGAATATCGGAATTAAAAGGAGTCTATTTCTGCTGTGTTTGCTTTGCAGCTTGCGGTGTTAAGCCGTTCAGTGCACGTGTTGTCAATGGTGATAACGCCTCCCCTCACGCTTGGCCCTGGCAGATCTCTCTTCGAGTCAATGGCCGTCACATCTGCGGTGGATCACTGATTGACAACCAATGGGTCGTCACTGCAGCTCATTGTGTAGAYAGGAACCCMAGGCCGAGTGGATACACTGTAGTAGTCGGTGAGTTTTCTATTCGTATTATGATAGTAATGGTGTTCGTGTATGTCTTGGTGTACTCTTGAATGAGACAGCAGAACTCATGATCATAACTTCGTCAGTCGGTATAAATATTCTCGTGTGTTTTCTGGCTGCAGTTCTGTGTAAGAATCTGAAAGGGATCAACGTGTTTCATTAACKTTCAGTGTTCGTATTTTGTATTTTGTATCAGTACCTGAATATTAGCTCTTGTCGCAAGATCGGTCTTGTCAGATAACCAACAATTGCTTCATTTAAGGTGCCCACAGTAGAACTGGATCAACCGCTGTCCAACAAACCTTTAGACTCAGTAAACTCTTCAAGCATGAGCAATTCAACATGAGGCAGCTGAAAAATGACATCGCACTGCTTCAACTCTCTGGATCCATCTCAGCGAGTTCCAAAGTGAATACTGTCTGCCTGCCCCCAAGTGGAAGCCGAGCACCTGCAGGTTCACAATGTTACATCACTGGTGAGTATCCATTCAATATCAAGTGTTTACTTTAGAGAGTTTCTAATGACAATGGTGGCAGTAACAATGTCAATTCATTAAAAATTGAACAATACTTTTGATTTACAGGCTGGGGACGAACCGTTGGTGGTGGAAGTGCAGCAAATATTCTCCAACAAGCCATGCTCCCAGTAGCTTCTCACAGCGCTTGTAGCCGAGTTAATGGCAAACTCGTCCCAGTCGATGAGCGCTCGATGATCTGTGCTGGAGGACAAGGCAAGGGTGGTTGTCAAGGAGACAGTGGTGGACCGTTCGTGTGTAACGAGGGAGGAAAATGGGTCCTGCGTGGTGCTGTCAGCTGGGGACACAGCATGTGCCGTACCGATCATTACACAGTCTTTGCTCGTGTGAGCAGCTTCATTACTTGGATCAATCAGAAGAAGTCCGGTGGGGGTGGCGGAGGAGGTGGTGGCGGAGGAGGATCTTGTGAGTACTACAAAACTGTTTTTTTTGCAATTTTTTCAATTATTCAATAATAAAAACTAGCGCTTTATTCAGAACCGAAACTTTTAGAGACTTGAATTTGGTTTGCGATTTTGAATTAATTAAGATGCCTCCAGAATGAATATTTCAAAGTTTTGAGTCATCTTCATTCAATGCATGATTTTGAATGCACTACTTCATGCTAGAAATCGATATTTAACTTCCTTTGCTGTTAACTGTAGTTGGAGTTSCTAGGAAACGAGAACCTTAATTCGCGCAGCTCCGCTGGTTATGTAATATATACAATATGAGCGGGCGATCTGTATGTAATATACAACTCTCTTCATGGGCTATGATTTCTATTGTGTTTTGCCTTATGAATATTAATGAGTTTTATAATATCATTTATGGTATCGAACTTCTGTTCTAGGCACAGACAAAGATCGACGTTGCCGAGGATGGACACGTTATTGCAGTTATCATCAATATGTCAGGGCAAACTGCAGGAAAACCTGCAGACTTTGCTAAAAGGTAGATATATAATAATATACGGCCTAACTGAAAAAAACATCACTTGTGTAATACTGATCTTTGATCTCTTTCTCTCTCTCTCTTTGTAGGGGTGACATAAAGTGCAGAAAAATGTCAAAGATATCAATCCTTTGATTGTAGTGAATTARAAAATAAAGCTGCTTAAACATATCAAGAGTTGTTAGATACTCATTTACAATATGAACCGATCCACGGAAAAACTGTGGCTTTTGAGTGGGACAGGRCCGGGAGGGAAGATTTGTCCGCCATCTTTATCAGCCAAGTTTTGATATTGTAGTTGAATGGTCATGCACAAAGATTTGAAGACGAGGCTTAAATGAATCGCAACGTTTATCTATTGCTTACCCTGTATTGTTTACACTGAGAAAGCTGAGGATTCACGTGTATCTAAACATAATAGACAGTACGGCATTGMGAATACTGATATGTATTATATAAAACATCGAAAAACATTTTTCTCCGAACAGTACTTCGAATTATGAAGCGTGATCAAGAAAGCAATTTCGKTACTATCTGAAAAAAAGATTAAACGAAAATTGGGAATTCTGCTGGTGTTAGTCAACTGCTACAACTGTCACCATAGTAACCCTTGCACTGATAGCGGTCACATGGTACTAAAATCTGTAATACTGGAGGCCAAAATTCCCACTGGGATTTTCAAAGCAAAGAAAACTCAAGTTTGACGGGCTACGTCCCTTTTGTTTTTGAGGTTGTTACATTCTTTTGCCATTCAGAATGGCGGATTTTTATAAGTAATACCATGCGACGACCGTTAAAAGTAAAATGACCATTCAGGAGTGCTTTCATATGATAAATTCCTAATGAAACGATCTCATGAATCTAGCATAGAAATAATACAAATGACATGAATTTGTAAAAGACACGCAGCTCTGCAACTGTTTAAGTAACAGACCACTTTTATTTTTTACATGTGTGATGTAAAAATATTTTAAATAAGCTTCGAAAGAATCTTCAAAAACTGAACAAACGTATTGAACAACGTCGTTTGTGGTCTGTGGACCAATGTGCAACAGGACATACTCCATCTCAATGCCGAACAAATAATTGAACGACATGGCAACCCAGCTTGCGAGTGTAATATAAATATTTGTTAACTGGTTTTTAAAGAAACTTCAAAAACTTTACAAAGGTTTKCAACCATTCCCATGAGATCCAAATGATAAAAAACCGGCAGCCATATTGGAGGAATGAACAATAGATACTAATGAGAGATCCTTTGTTAAAGTTCCTCCAAGATGGCCGCTGTACGTGACGTAACCTGAAAACGAAGAATTATAAAACGCGTACATTGTCAAGAGAATCGTTTGGCATCTTTGGACCAGCTAGCATCTAATTAAACAACGTGTCAAATGCTTTACAAATATTGCAAAAAATGTACAACTCTGTGAWATCTCAGCTTGCAAGTGTGATATAAATATTTGTGAAACATTTTCAAAAGAAACTTCAAAAACAGTTTACAAATGTACTA